TTATCACTGGCGATCAACAATTAATTGTGAAAATTTCTTATTGTATACCATATGTATGTAATGTGGATTTATCGTCCGAGTCTGTCTTTCAATTACAAGTCGAAAATTGTAAGAGTATATGCAGCATTGAACGCGAATTAGAATTTAGCTGTCTATGATGACATTTGCGGGAAATTTGATACATTTAACGCGTAATCGTTCGCTTATTTCGATGCCTTTAAAATGCTTGCGATTTTATTTCAAGCTCTCTTCACGTAAATGTTAAAAATGACGTAGATTTTATATTATTAAAATATTTATTAAATATAAAAACGTAATTTATTCAAAGGATTTGATTTAATTAAAAAAGATTTTTAAAAAATTTTATAAATAAAAATCATATAAAAATAACAAGCTAGAGCGTAAAACTTCCATAAAACCTAAAAACAGAAACAAAATATTTAAGCCATTCAACTTTAACTCATTCATAATTAAAAATCGCAGTCCATTTATAACCATCTACATTTTTAAAAAATGTAACGAATATAATTCATAGTATTTTACAGATACGAAACAAGACTATCGATCGATGATTATTTTTTAGAGAAGCTAAATCTTTCGAAAAGTTTCCTTGACCTGTTTATTTTAATATTTTACCCGATTTTATTTACTTTCTTTGAATTACGATATTAGAATGTATTTTAGGTGCTTTTCTTTGTTATGAATAAGACATAAGCCGATAAAGAAATAAAAAGAATAAAGGAAATCGACTTGCTGGATACTATTCTTAACCAAGATAAACATTCAACTGAAGACAAACATTTAATAGAAGACCAGGTATAAGAAAGTAGAGTTAAAACAAATCCTTGAGTAAAAAGAAATATAAATGATGTAGTCTTACAATGATAGTTATTATAGTTTTAAAAATATATTATTTGTATAATATGCATTCAATGCATATGCAAAAATATGTGAATAGATTAATATATGCTATATAATATTATATAAAAAATAATTTGTAAACATTTTATAATTTTTTTAACAAATATCTTGTTTTTTCAATAATATACTCATAAAAAAGAGAGTTCGGAATTTTTTATTCCAAAGATATTTTTTTTCAGATGGTGACGAATTAATATAAGAAGGAAGGAATTATTTAATTCGTGAAACTTTGCTGCATTTAATTTAGTATGCTACCGTCGAGTGCCATTCTAAAGAGTGACTAACGGCTTTTGGGAGTTCTCGATTTTTATTCCCTCGCCCGTTAGCATCGTTTGCATCACTAAAACAGCTCCAATAGTAACCCGCTGTTTATGTAAATTGTACGACCATATATTTTTTCAACGAACGGCAATACTGACTGACCCGAACGTATGCAATGTTACATTTACATTCGCGAATAAATTTGATCGTAAATTACATTTCTCGTCACTCGTCATAATTAAAGAATATTATTATATTCTAAGCAGGTACAAAATGACCTATAAAAGTTAACAGATTAGACCAGCTAATCAATAATAAGTCAAACTCTTGTCTTTTTATATTTAACTGATTAAAAAACTTAATTGCATTCCCTGTGTTTTTACAAGTCAATTAAATTAATTAATACTATCTTAGCCTTAGATATATAATTGATGTCACAAATAGATGATTAATTCGTGCATAGTCAATTGGATCAAGTTAGTAAACATTATCGATCATACGCTTGTATGACGTTAATTGAATAGATAACTAATTAGCTTAAATACATACGAATTAAATACTATAAGGCTGTGAAATGGTGCCATTATTTATTGCGTGAAAAAGTGTACAAGTGTTTCGCTACCATTTTGGAACATCTCTATAATAATTATTATCAAGTCAAATGAATTTTTTAACACTATAATATGTTTTACATATATTAAACATTGTTTGAGTATATTTAGAAATATATCAGACAGTGTTATATGTCAACATGATGGACTTGTCATCTTAGAAATAAAAGATATGCGACTGTAAATAAATTATAAAAAGATAAGATCATCGAGAAAATCAATTAACCCCAGTAAGTTATTCTCATTTGCTTAAAATATTATTTTTTCTTATTTATGTACTTGTTCATCTAAAAAAAATCTGTCTCTCTTTCTCTCTCCTTTCGAAATTACAAAACTAGTACTAGTTTATAGATTTAATATAGAGGCACAAGAATAATAAAATAACTTGAAAAATCCAATGGATTACTCAACGGTACAAAAGTTTTCGCTGTTGAATATATGTATTTATACATATATTATCTAGAGGCATGCACATATGTGCTCTTCCATTAAGAGATTAATTTTGAACTCTGACGAGGTATTTATAGGAATTTGCCGGAAATTTGGAAAATTCGGTACGAGAAGGATGGCATGTAGAATGCCTCGTGAATCCGCTCGCGAAATTGGAAGCTGAAGGGATAAAAGAGCCGATATCCGCGAAGGCGAGGCTGACGCAGCGAAAGCTCGAGTCTTGTATTAAATGCCCGAATATTCGACGCAATGTCTCTCGGAGATATCTTGAGGATTTCCCATCTCCGATCGCCCATATAACGCTTGACGTACATAAGGTTGGTGACACATATGCGATATAAATTCGCGAAACTCGGGAAGCAATAATCTCGATTTAGTGCCGAGAGATGACAGTTTCAGCAGTCGAGACTTTATTAAAAATGTTTATTGTGCTTCCGGCCGCGTATATAAATGGAAAATATTCAAATGAAATTCATACTCCACATTATTTACAAAAATATACTGCAACGATATAGAATAGAAAATTGTATTATTTTTATTTAATTTTGAAATATATTATTATAAATATATTTTTAAATATATATTTAAATATATTATTTAACTAAAATACTCGAAAAAAAATATTAGAATTCAATATCTTTGGAGAAGCTTTAAGCGTGAAATGTCGAGAAAAAAACTGTTATTATATAGAAACGAAGAAAGCTAAGAGAGAAAATATGAAAGATTTTATGAGGTAAACTCTGCATTATGTCATGTATATTGCGCTTAACGAACCGCGTGCAATAAAATACATCTAAGATTCGCTCAGATTCCTCGTCTTGCGGATGTCTCTCTCTCTCTCTGTGATTTTAATGCAAAGGCGACTTAAAGCACTCGGAGTCAAAGTAGGAGATGGGTCGTCTCTTTACCGGTCGACATTCGCGAAACTTTCCCCCCTGGCTTTTTTTTCCCGGAGAGAACGCGGCTCTGCATATTTTCCGACATTTAAACTTATCCAGCGTGGCTGCTCTCTCGGAGCAGCGACGAAACGAGGAGGCGGAAAAGAAGAGAGGCGAGAATGTATACCATAGCTCCGCAACGAATAACTTTCTTTTTTCCCCTGCACATCCGTCCGATTTCTCCCTCGCCTTAGTCCTCGTAATTCCATGAATACCAAAGTGTCTCTTTCTCTTACTTTGTATATTTTCTCTCTGCAACGACTGGGATTGCAGTCGGCTATACGCATCGAACCGATCGAACCGGAGAAGAAAAATGCGCATCTCCTCTCGAAATCTGCTCGAAAAATGTGATCACGTTATTATACGGACTTTGAGATAGAGAGGAAGTGCATGATGAAATATACATAGTGCTTGATAATATCTTCTCTCTAGTCAAGATTTATTTTGTACTATTTAAAGATAATATTTTACATTTTTTATTTTACATTTCTGTCTCCACATTTTATATTTATATAAAATTATAAGTTGAATTGTTAGTTCCTCTCGGAGATGCGAACAAGTTTTTTAACTTTAAAATTTTTATTTCTAATTATGAGCAATTTATTTAAAGAAACGCTACTTTTCTCATTATTGCATTATTAGATATTTATTGTTAGAGAGAAACGAATAAAATCGCAATTTAAAAACTGCAAAATTCGCTGTTATAACATCGTAATTAGCGAAATCGAGCGGCGCGTGCTCGACCTGACCTCAGTTTTACCAGTTTCTAGGAAAAAACAAAGACTATGACAGAGGTACATTGGGGAGTCGAGAATAGCGAAAGTTTCATCTCAATTGGGTGAACGACGTCGACGCTTTCAGGCGACGCCGGAAATCGAGAGAACGTGGCCCGATAGCCTTCGTGTTCCTGTTCGATTTAACTTCGAGGACTAACTTGCGCGTTCACGTTGTTACGAAACTTTATCGCCGCAACAATAATATTTTTACGTTAGTAGTAGTAGTAGTAACTCTGTTAATCCCACAAACGAAACCGTATGTGAAGCTCGAGTTCGATGATACGAGAGTTGAATTTAGTTCAATAAATAAGACGGTATATTATATTTTTTTTCAGTATCCATTTTCTCAAAGATGAATTCATAAAGTTAACAAATTAAATTTGTTCCAGCTTAAAAAAAAAAAACAATAAAATATCCAAGTTACACATCAAGAAATATCTATAATCTTTTTTAATTATTATAGGTAATACGCAAATTTTCACATCTCGATAAAATTGCTTGTTGAAATGAAAAGAGAATTTGCTTTGTTTCTAAAGTCGATTAATCGGTTCAAATAACGCGTCTCTTTCCTTTTTCTACATATACTGCAGAATAAAGAGATATATGTATTATCGGATACATTATTTGCATGTCGAAAAACGATTCAGTTCTCCTGAATCTTTGTGTAAATATACTCTCGTCCTGCTGACTTTTGATCCTCTGATTCGCTTGGCTGTTTGCTCATAAAATTCAAACACCATTATGTACTTATGAGCGAGCAAATATTTTCACGGAAAAAATTATTTAATCAAAAATACCCCTGACGGGTCATATATTCCGATATCGATCGATTAATTATTAAAGCGAATACATAAATATACAAAAATAAAATTTATATGTCTCGTATAAGAGAATTAAGGGTAATATTTGGATGATTGCACAGTCATACTAACTCGTTCAAGTAGAATAAAAAAAATATTCAGCCTAAAGTCGCGCAAAAAAAAAAAAAATGCGCGAAGGTTTTCCACGTCACTGAACACCTCGCAACTTTTCTGATGTTTCAGACATGCATTGGCTCGTTTGCACCTGCATCCTCACGGCGACCACGGTGCTTTCCTGCCGGCAGAGCGAGTTTCAGTGCACCAACGGGCACTGCGTCGCCCTCAACAAAGTCTGCAACGTCGTCGACGACTGTGGGGATGGAAGCGACGAGACGCGTCCGTGCTCGCGTGAGTAGAAACTCTTTTGCCCTTCAACGGTTTTGCCATCCCTCGCTCGAAGGGGCTTCGCCGATAAATGCATATCCACTTGACAAGCTAACGCAATCGCGGATAACCGCCGGATGGACCGGATAGGAGATCATTCAGCTCGATCGAAATGAAATCCGAGAAACCCGAGAGCCGCACGCGCATTAAATTCCGGCTTCCGCAATCTCATTTCGAAATGTCTCTCGTTGCGTCAAATGATATATGGATTCATTAAAAAAATTTGTAGCTGGTAAAATTGGAAAATAATTTCCCACAATATCTCTACAAATTAAATTATTCTGAATAGCTTCATTAAAGCGCGGTCAATGCTTTCATATATATATTCATATATATATATATATATCATATATATATAATGTATATATATATATATATATATATATATATATATATATATATATATGTATATTATATGTATATGTATATGTATATGTACCGGCTTACTGTTCGCTTTACAAATACACCTATATATTTGAACAATGCAATATTTTACAATATTTTATTCTCTTCTACGCTTTAATTAAAATATTTTTCACGAGTGAACTAGCGCGAATGGATTTGCGTATATGAGAGAGAGATTTGAATCGCGAATCAAACGTCCGCGTTTAATTCGCAACCGCGAGAGTATTTCAGTCTCTCAATCCCCAATTTATCGAAATGCTCTAGCCCAGTAATTGATCTATTCCGATCTGTTCTCTGGCAGGTGGCTTCGAAACGCGCGATTGCCGGCAAAGGCCGGCACGGGCAGGAATTTCTACTTTGTTATATAAACGCTCTCCATACTTTCTTCTTTCTCATCGTACGAATCAGTCGCTGCGATGCAGCGCGTAAAGACGGAATGAAATTCCCGTAACGTTACAAGAGTGATATTACGGCATAGTTGTTTTCAAAGGGAGGGATGCTCTTTTCTTTCTCGATATTATACGCAGATGTATGTACGACACCGTGAAATTTCAAACGTTTCGATAATATGTGTAATATGGATTTAAATTTTTTTATGTTTTAAGTTTTTAAAGCCGAGATCGTGAAACACGATCGGGAAAAGAGTGATTGCAATTTATTGCCGAGTGAAAATATATATTTGCAATTACAATAATAAAATTGATTATAGAGATACAAATATTAGAGAAATTATATATAGAGAGATTTAAAGGTACGTTTTTTTAAATAAAAATCAAAGCGGCTTTATTATAAAATAATTCACTCGTAATCTCGTAATATCTCTGTGAGATTATTTATGGTAATAATTTAATATATTTTTTATTGCGCGTGCGTGCACAAATTTATATTTCCGTATAAATATAATTTGTAAAAATAACAATTTGTGAGAAACACACTCAATAATAATTATATTAATGCAAAATTAGTATTTTATTTTCCTATGAAAAATTTTTTGTACCAAACGGTATCATGCGTAAACAAGCTTCATAAAATATAACAAGCTTCATAAAATATAACAAACTTTATAAAATATAACAATCGCAAATAAATTGCGTTTATTAAAATTAGCAAAAAAGTATTTTCCTAAATAAAAATTTTTTCTTGTCAATTTAGTGATAAGAGTATAACAATATCAATAAATATTTCGCTCGATACTACGTTTTCGCAAGTGAAAAAAATCCGAAAATCATGCAAACAGTTAATAAAAATATATCGTGATGGATTGGAAATATTCAACTATTGTGCAACGCAATGTAAAACTGTTGCGCTAAATTGATTGTAACAAATCGAAGACTCCAATATCGATTAACGCGCAAATATGATAGGAATCCTGATATTTCTCTACGAATATTTATAGTTTTATTTGCATTAAACCTTTAATTCTCATTCATTGCAATTATTATATATTGCATCAATTCGCGTGTATATAACTGCATCTGGAATTGCGTGAAAATCTGGCGGATGAAATCTGCCGAACTAATGATATAAATCGTAATTCGCGAAAAAAAAAAAAAAGAAAAATTATTTGACGTAACGGTTTATGTCGTCATAGGACGAAAAATCGATCGGGGTTGGCGCGTACAGCAGCCACTTCATTTCGCGAGAATCTACGATGTGCCCGACAAGATGATCCTATACGTATAAAAGACAAGGGACGCTCCCCTTAGTCAGACCTGCCTGTTATCGACAGATCGTGATAAAATAGAGCAGTTTGAGCGGACGATTCGACGGCAAAAAACGAATTCGTTCCTTAGTCCGACGGTGTCCACCTTTTCTCTCGGCGTCGTCTAATTTCGCGCGATTTATTTCTCTTTTTCCGCACACAAACTTTCAAGATGCCAATCGCCACGTCAAAATAATTCACACAAATCTTTGCGATTTACGCAATTATATTAATTATTATATTAATTGTTATATTAATTATTATATTAACCCTCAGTTACCACTCATTTTTGGCCACCTTATTTTACCACTCATGGGTTAGAGTAACCCAGAGTCTTTTTTTGTTTATATTTTTGGATCTAAAGAAGCTATTTTGAAGTATTTTTTTTCAATCAATACGCCAGACAGTAAGAAAAAAGAATATATCGGTACAAATGTCACCAGATTTCTACGACTCGAGATATTTGAGAAAAATGAAAAGTGATCTTCTAAAATCTCCAAAATGACACACGTTTAAATTTTTGATACGGGTTAACGTAACCCAGAGAGGTAACTGGGGGTTAATTGTTTGAATATCGAAAAAAAAAACTTAATTTTAATTTTGGAGAAAAATATCCCTTCAAAGAAATGAGGAATATTCTTGAAATAATTTTGTATTATCTCAATATTAGTGTTAGCTTCTTGGAGCTGCGGTTTGACAGATACGTATAACAAATGGATGTAGCGTGCGATGTAATTTTAATTTCAATCGCGTTGCGACGAAGATACTTCATCTTACCGGTCCAAAAGTTTCTTTGGAAAGGAGAACAGGTGTCTAATTAAATTTCCACTGTCATCGTTCAGCTTCTCCAAAATGGTCCGCGAGCAAAACGCGCGCATCCAACTGTCAATTACAATTTAAGCAGGTGCGTGCGGCATTTGAGAAGGGTTTCGAGTAAATCCCCGACTGAGTCTTCGCTTCCAAGATAAGCAAGAGAAAGAGAGAGAGAGAGAGAGAGAGAATCTCCGAGTCCTCGAGCCACCACGTGCACGCAGTAAAACGCTTGCGGAAATACACGACGGTCGTTTGCATGGCTGCCGGAATTTACTGAATGCTCCGGCGAGACCATCAGCAACGTCGTAGTCGTTTAATCTGCCAGGGGGTTTTCGGCTAAATCTCCCCCACGCGAGAGGGGCTGTCTCTCTTACCCTTCTCGCCTCGCAGTAGCACTTTGGGCGAAAGCAACCAACCAAAGCAACCCTTTCGAAAACACGGGGAACCACCCCGGCGTGTGTGTTTGGCGTAATTAACCCAAGTTATGAGATGCGTTTATATATGGCGCGTACACACGGTACAACGCGGACAGGAAATTACTTCTGGCAACGTAAACGTCCCTTTATTTCGCGAGAGTAACAATGACTTGTTATTGGCGGCCGCGGAATGAAAATGTTTCTGTTCTCATTTACGTCGAGATGTCTCCCAGTCTCGCTGATCGATATATTAGACTCCGACTTCGCGTTTATGAAGTAATACTTACGTAGAGTAATCGCCGTGAGAAAATAAAAACGAATTGAAGGTCGTGAACACTGGACTAATAGAATTAACTTCCCGATGTTGAAGCTTTATACCTACGTATTTCATATTTTTATAAGATTTCTGCTTCTGCAAGAGATCTCTGCACGATACAAAGCGTATAAAATTTCAAAGCAGTTTGCAGCATTCTCTTTATTACGTACAACAAGTATTGCTTCCGTTATATATTTCGTTCTTTTATTTAAAAAAAAAAAAAAAAAAAAAAACGAGATGGAAAATATTGTAAAAAATTGAGATAATTAAAGAAAAAAATTGTTCATCTCGTGTGTGTACGATTCTTCAAATTTTAACTTTATTTTAATTATTTGATATTAATTCACGTAGCATACCTTCGCAGGCAAAAATTAATTATATAAAGATATCATTAGCTCGTGCTCTCTCGTGGAGTTTTACGACCTAATTAACGACCTAAATTACGATCTGCGACATAAGAAGCACTACACGTGACATGTAAATGAGCCCGTTGACATTTGATCGTGCAAGAAGCAAATTCCCCTCGCTGATAAAATATACGCGGTACATTGTGCAGGGTTTAATATATTTACATATATCGAGCGTGTTAAGTTTCACTATCGGCGGAGTAACAATTTCGCCGGGAAGAAAAGGATTGCTTGAAAAATGGCGGCGAGTTATCTTTTGGCCGGGGCACAAGCAATATATTCCGGTCACGTATCCATAAGGCTCGTACGGGCCAAAGGAAAGCCTTTACGTAGAGCTTTCGTGACATCGAAATCGGACGAGAGAAGCAATTTTTAAATATATGCAAAGTTGTAAAGATATATAACACGTGTCCAATCAAAAATCATTTCTTGCTTATTTAATTGCACTTAATAATTGATATATCTTTTGATAAGTCTGCAACTTTGTTGAATTGTGTTTCCTCTTTCTTTTAAACATAATAAAATTATAAAGTGTGATTTAATGTGATTTAATGTATTAATATGTTTTGATGGTTTTAAAATAAAAATTTATAATATTCATTAACATTCTAATAATTTTATGCTCTTTAGTTAGCCTGTACTTACATTAATTTTACAATTTTATTTCAATATATAAGAGCGTTATAATTTTTACTAATTTATTATTATAATAAAATTAATAATAAAATTCTTGCAATAAGTTCTAACACATATTACGATATTTGATATATGAGACATGTAAACAATAATAATACTATATATATTTATATATAAAATAAGAGCACATATTCGAAGTGAAACTTGACTAAGAAATTTCTGAATAATATTATCGATTAAAGTTCTCTCACAAGGCGGAAGACATTGGTTCGACGATTGCGGCATTAAATGTCCCATTTATCTTCCTCGTACTTCAATGCGAAACTTTTGAAATAAAATAGCTTGATAGTCGGCCTCCCACCGTTACATTGGGTTATAAAAGGACACAATTTCTCTCGGCTAGAAGCCTCGGTGTTCCTCGCGGAAGAGAAGGCGGCCCGCCAAAGTTACGACAGGTAATAACAAACTTTCGTATTCTTCCTCCTTGCAAATGAAACGCTCGAGCGAGCGAGTTAATTTATATCAATTACGCCGGCTGATGTGATTAAATGTGAGAAAGAGAATGAAGAGGCGGATTAAGAAGTTATATCTTATGTATATCGAGTGCTCTTGATATTTTTTCCACCGAAGAGGGATTGGTAACATGTCCATTTAATTGCGGATTTTGCACTCTCGTTTTTTCTTTAATTAGATGTTGTTCATATGCGAAAATCATTTTTAAACATTTAGATGTTAAGTAAAAATTATTTCTATAATATGAAACAAATTGATTGTTACTACGAATATGGTACTACAAAAGTAAATATATGCGAGATATATCAAAGAGTAATATATGTAACAAGATTTGACATTTCTTTTTTTGTTCTAAAATTAACAGAAATTCTATTATACAGATAAAACGAAACATGCGTGTCGCGAGAACATCATATGGAAGCGTAATGGAGAATTCCGGAAATAATTAAAAAGAAAGCTTGTAAAGAGAGCAATTGCGAGATATTATTGTCCATTATCCACAGCGTGATTACATACAAGTCATAATATTCTGCGAAATAAGTGCAGAAAGTAGGATTATAACAAAGTTATTTTTTCTAAATTAAGTGTTTTTTCTTTATTTTTCTAGCACTTGCACAAATGTATATATATATAGAGAGAGAGAGAGAGGGAGTGAAAAAAGGGAGAAAGAAAGGGAAAGAGAATGTAAGAGAAATCTCTTCCTTTTTCTCTTTATTTTTTCTCCTGTCTTGTTGCTCTTAACGGAAATAAACGACGGTATCTTGCTCGATGCTCTCTAGCAAAATTGCGAGAGCCGAATTTGCTAGGACTCGGTACATGCATATAAGAGAGTCCGAAACTCTCGGAAAGTACATAATCACGACTCAGTGAGCAAGCATTTATTTAATATACGCCGCAAAGTTGTCGCAGTTGATATCTACCCCCTGTACACAGGATGAATATTTAGCCATTTAACCTCTTCTAAGAAACTAAAATTACCTTGAGATTACATAAATGTTGTTAACTTTGCGAACACATAGAAATTGTTCACTCTTCACTTGCATAATAATAATACTATTTTTTTCAAGTAATATCAAGCAAGTGCAATATTCAGCTAATACAAAAATTTAAATAAATATTTTAGATTTTATATTATTTTATTATACATATTTCTGTTTTTATAATTAAAATTACAATTGTAAAATTAATAGTTTGTTGATTAAGGGATAATGTAAAAAACTTAATTAACGTAGAATATATATATATATGAAATTTTTCAACACATAATATGAAATTATATTGGATTACATAAAACTGAACTGTAGAATAATCTCTTTCTGTTTTTTTTTCTACAAAATAAAATAAAGTAATCTTTCATCTGTTTCATAAAATTAATAAACGAAAATTCTGAAAACTTTTCTTATTTTCACAATTAGAAGTAGAATAATAAAATTAACATTTTGGTTGACTAACGTGTAAAAATTAATTAATGTAGAAAAAAAATATATATATATAATTTTTTTAACAAATATGTGAAATGATATTGAATTACATATTCAAAATGATATTGAATAATTAATAATTTTCTCTTTTTTCTTTTTTCCTTCAAAATAAAGTAAAGTTTTTATCTTTCATCTTTTTTAAGTTATTAAATGTGAATGCTGAAAAAGAATAAAATCATGAATTAGAATTTAAAAATCTTATAATTAATTATATGTCAAATATTTTAAATAAAAAAAATTTAATACGTGATGTATTGTCGTTGGACTGATTTTTATTATTTTGTTGCACAGTGCATTTTGGAGGAGAAATCTGTATATCCTTGTTGGCATATATGTTTGATATGGCTGATATGTCAGAAGTCGGAGATAATTTATAATTACACAACGATCCCTCGTGTGATAAAGCACCTACGAAGTTTATTACAAAATTAGTTCTGTGCGCACAATTTAATGTGTGCAATTAAATGTATATAAAATTTGTATGTGATTAAACTCTAAAACTGTAAATATAAAAAAGAGATCATTTTATATATATATATATATATTTTTTTTTTATATATATTTTTATATATATATAAGCACATAAATAATATAAAGTATTGCAAAATAAGATAAATATATATGTATAATTTTGTAATATAAAAGTGCAATGAAAAATGAGTAACGAGTATGACAACCTTTTGACATGAATTCGAAGGAACTTATGCTGTCGCAGCATTCGAGAGAATGCATCGAAGAAAACATATTATTCGAGATGATACTTGGACTTCTTGGACGATGAACAGATGTCGATATCGGTACAATATTGTAATTCACCGTTTCTACGTTTACAATCTTTGGAACAGACATTGATGATTTTGAATTCACTTCTTTCACAATATCCATGGGCTGAGGAGTAATTATTTTACTGCTGCTGTCATTACTATTCTCTATTTGAAATCGAATTCTTTTTGCTTGAATTTCATCTTGTGCATTCGTGGGAGCGCTATGCTTGACTGGGTTTTTTTTTATATAGTTACTCGGTCGTACTTTAATAGATTCTTGTAATATCTGTATTTCCTCTTCCTGATTGATATCTTTTATATTTGTATCGTCGTCGATTACCATATATACGTCATTATCCATTTTTTCAACTCTTGCCTCTGCATTTAGTGGTACTGAAATGACGTTTGTCTCAATTTTTTCAGTAACGATAGTATTTTTTGTATTAGTTTCTTCCACTTGGACTGCAGTACGTTTCGAATCATTGTCGTGAATCGTTTCTACATCTATTATTTCAGGCAACGTTACAGTATTCTCGTTTATACATAATTCTTCTAAGATCAAGGTATTAACGGATATATTATCTGAAAATAGATATAATATATATAAGAATCCTTATTATAATATATGTATATTGATGAAGTAATATCTTTGTTTTATATGGAAAGTATAAAATATAAAATTAGTATATAAAATATATAAAATATAAAATATAATAGTTATATAAAATATAAAATTAGTTTCCACCATCGAGAACTTCGTGAGCCCACTGATGCCGCATTTTCGGATGTATCTGATTTGAAGAGTACATTTCTCGATATGGTACATGATTAATCTTCGGCGGTCCCATGTCAAGTACTTTTTGTTTTCTCAATTTTCTCTGATCTTCTTCTTTATTACGATATACTTGCAGCTATAAAATTAATGAATTAAATATCACGGATATAAGAGAAAGGAGTGTGTGTTTATATAAATTAATTTAAAAATGTATACCATATACCTCTATTTCTACCGATTGTAATTCTTTTTCACATCGGTCCACATCTGCTTTCAAGCTCGTTAACTTTTCATCCAAATTCGCCCGTTCCACCATCGCGGCAGCGAATTCAATTATCTTAGAACGTGTGCGGATCCAGTTAATATGTTCTCTCTGCTTAGTAATCTTGATTATTTCTTTTATTTTATATTCCATAATCATGTATTCTATTTTGAGTCTCTCCAAATTGATCTTGAGAGTATTTCTGGTTTTTGCCAACGGAAATTCCTCGTACATATTCTATGAGAGAGAAAACGAGAAAAAGGATCAATCAATGTCTTTTAATTATTATTTAAACAATTTTTAAATTTTGAATGATTATCGATACTCGCTATACTAACCCGGTAAGTATGCCATGCTTCCTCGTACTCGGCAACAAGATCTTCATACTCTTGCGTTCTTATTTGATTCAGTTTGGATTGATCATCCATATTTACTTTCGTCAGTTCAATAATCTCCGAGATTTCGGCAACGTTTTCGTTTAATCTGTATAAAACGACAAAGTTTCAATATGTGTAATGACGATAGTTATTTAACATACCTTGTTAAAGACTCATTCAATGTTATGTTAATCTTCTCCAGCATCGCTATCCTGGCTTTCAGCTGTCTTCTTTTATTGAGTTCAGTGCGTGTCACTTCTTTTTTTTGTTTTATATCCTTCATAATAGCTATGGAAAAGCCATCGACACCATTGTTTTAAAGACATTAAAACACAGAAAAAAAATGACTTTACGAAAAGTTTATTTCTTCCATGTTGTGTTGCATTATATGAGAATTTTTACTTACCATCCAGCTTTTCCTTGGCTTCCTTAATTTCCATTTTCAAACAGGTTTTTAGTACTTTGACAAATTGGGGATCATCGTAATTTATTTGATTATCTGTATTCATTTTTGCTTCTCGTCGAAAATGATCACCTTTACACGACATGATTATTCTTAAAGCGAAGTTTGCCACTTCGAATGACCTGAAGTTGAAACTTTCAGCCAAGTCGCGACAGCAATAGGTATCATAGCAACAGAATAATAAATTCCAATAAGGGTCAATTTCACGTCGGTTACCTTAAACTATATATACTTATATACTATATCTTTATACTACTATCTCTTTTCAGATATGTTCTTAAAAGAAGACAGAGATATAGTTTACCTGGAGATTAAAGTTAACTTTGATGAAATTGGCTTTATATGTGATTTTAAAAAAGGCAAAAAATTGTCATTTCACGCTTACGAGATATTTTATAATTTTTTTAAAATTAAAACCTACAAGCATTATTTTACAATAAGCTCGAGAAGCAAATGTACCGAAAGTTTGTTCTTTAGTTATTCGTGGTTGGCCTCCATTTGCGACACTCTTCGCGAAACGTATGCTATAAATATATCTACTCGGTGTGAAAGAAAAATGGAAATGTGCGCGCAGAGATTCCACCTTACACTCTTATATCTCATCCCATCTTTGCGCCGTAAAAATTTCGATACTTTTGTGAGATGTCCGGCCGCGCGTTTAGTTTACTATGCGAAAGTTCGATCGTTTGCCGAACGGTCGTAATTTGAGATTAAGGATTCGTTAGGTAGAACGGCTCATCCCGCGCCACCCCATATATCTTGGCGATGTGCTTTGGCACGAATGTAACTTTGGTCACGAAAGAGGGCAACGACGGTGCTGAGCAAAGATAGCGAAGGGAACGAAAAATATATGACCGAATTAATCATAAATCCCGACGAATTTCGCACGCGTGTGACATTTTATATTTATCGTTATGTCCATATTGTTCTCTTAAAAAAAAAAACGAAATAACCCACTTCTTAGCTGTATGAAAGATAAGAATGTAATATTATTGTGAAAATAATATTTTTAGGTGCTAAGCAATATAAAATCGAGAATCTAAAAATAGAAATATAGAGTGTCCTAGAAGCCACTGTGTTATTACACAAAATATCCTGCATGTATAAAAAAAAAAACAGGTCAGTGAAATAACGAAAGTGACACGCGTGTCACTTGAAAATGATACTTCATCTTTTTCCACGTTTATTTACAGTTGAAGCGATTGTAATCGAAGCTTTTAACGAACGATGATTGGTAAACCAATCACTCATATATAGAAAAAAAGTTAAACAAAAATATTCGGTTATTTAGATAGACAGTTAGTAATCGGAAATTCAACGAAAGTTTTTTATACGCTGATAGTAAATAAAAAATTCACCTATATATACATATATAATATATATTTATGGTATACATATATATTTATGGTATATGTAGTGATATTTTTCATTTTTAAAACTTCATGTTAAATATTACAGATATATATCTAATTTCTCAAAATTATTAATTTGCGATCATAAAATTTATTTTTATTTTTATTTAAAAAAAAAAAAAAATACACCGAGAGAAGTTTCACGGTTTACATGCATTTCAAGCTAAAGATTCATGCACGTTTGAGAGCCAATCGATACTTGAAAATCTTTTTGTCTCGTAGTATGGATTCATTACAACGTTCCATTGCCACGATGGCAAAATAATCGTTTAATTTGTCACGACCGCTGAACATTGATCCGACCGCATATCCCTTTGTCAATCACGGAGATACACAGAGGGTGGACCAGGGCGGTTTGCAAGTTAATGAAAACGAGTGACAGCGGGATCAACTTATCGGCTTCGAAAATTGATATCGAACGCGTATATTCGGCGATATATGTGTACCGGCGGAAAAATATCGGTAAGGAATATCTAGTCCGGATATCTGTCGCGCTTGTGTGCGCTCGTCGACGTTTTGGAGGGACGTTTGGAGAACACGACGTGTTGGCTGTCGGCCAACCCAGTCCGCATTTGGGTCAAACTGACCTCCATCTCTCTCGCCGGATCCTGCATCACTCTCTCCCCGTAAGAGGGAATGGCTGCGAATGAGAGCGGACTCTGTTTCTTCCCTAGTGTTCCTAGTCGGCCTGTTCCGCTGCTTTTACCCCCGGACACGGGGTGCACTCTCACGGAGTGGCGCACTTCATCGTGAAAGATTTGTAAATGCAGCACCGAGAGGACAGCGATACGAATAACAGGAGGAGCTTTCGACGAGACTCGCAAAAACAGAACGTCGACTCTTTAGAGATTCAGGGAAATGCGTTATTAAATTCTTTTTATTTATATCCAAGATGTAATAATGGCTTTTTATAATACTGTGAAAAATTAATTTTGGTATCTTGGTATCTCATACTTTTTTGGATCCATTAAACGAGGAATTAAAAATTCAGCGAAATGCGTTATTACATTTTTATTTATATCCAAGATGTAATTTTGGTATCTTGCTATCTCATATTTTTTGGATCCGTTTAATATAATATATCGCCGATCGAAGAAAGTATTGAGTGACTTAATGATTGTGCCATTTTTTTTCTAACTGAATGTTAAAATAATAAGAACGTAGATATTTGAGAATCGCCAGACAGAATTTAAAAAAAGGTAAGAATCTTCTCTCGACCGTACTGGCAAATATTATTTATTCAATCACAACGTTTCGACCCTTTTTTGAATCCTTATCAAGTGATTTGTAAAAATAAAAATAAAATTATAATTTTAAGATGTCAAGAACGAACATAGTGTCGGTTTGACAACACGTCAAGACTCTATTAATTAAAATTTTATTTAAAATAATAAATTTATTTAAATATATAATTGACCTTATCAAATAATTTGTAAAAATAAAAATAAAATTATAAATTATAATTTTATTTTTATTTTTACAAATCACTTGATAAGGACTCAAAGAAGGGTCGAAACGTTGTGATTGGATAAATAATATTTGCCAGTACGGTCGAGAGAAGATTCTTACCTTTTTTTGAATGTTAAAAATTGAAAAATAAAATTTAATTACGTGAGAAAAATGTCATCATAAAAGCATCGGAAAGATAGAAACTAACACGGCTTTTTTATGTAGATGCATCAGAAGCCGTTAAAGCTCGCGGCATAATTTATGGCGCGATCATTTCGTCGGTAGTTTCTAGTCCGCTTTGAGACTAATGGAAATCGTACCTGGGAAGCGTGAGCAGCAACCATAAAGAACGGACTGTCTATACCACGCCCATGAATACCCGAGGTTATCAATGCTTCGTAAAATGGGTTATCATTGAGTGTCTCTCTCTCTTTCTCTCGTCAAGCGATATTTTTCTCGTTTCCTCTATTATTGTTATATCAACCCCGCAGGGATTACTTTACGGATGCTAAAAGAAATAACAAAAAATCTAAGAGGGAGAAAGAACCTAATACAATTCAGAAATATTTTTTTTTAATTATTTAAACATAATATTTGTAAAATATTGTAGGAATTTTTCTTTTTTTTTTTTTGCTTCTTCGAAATAATATTCGCCACATATTTATAGAAAATATGAATAAGGGGAGGCCTTTTTTATCGATCACTCATGGATTATATTGACTGTAACTAAAAGCAACCATACGTACGTGTGGATGTATACGCGTGGCTGTATTCCCATGGGAATACTTCGATTTCTAAAGGCTTTAGATTTCCTGCAAACAACCTGCTCTGACGCATTCGCACGATCTATCCTGCGAATCGGTTTTCTTAAGCGAAATTCCGATGGAAGCGTGCGAGAGATTTATTCGCGGCGCGGGCAGACATGTACGATAACAAAATATCGGGATTATGAATCTTTCATGGACGGCAATGCTCCCGTTTCGAAATTGAAACGAGAGCGAAGTGCGGTGTGGCTCTAGAATGAAAAGGGAAAAAAACGCACAAAAATGGAAGGGGAGATACGCAGAGCAAACCCGACGCCGAATAGGATCCTTTCACAGCTGCGTCAATAATTGATCGCCAGAACGTAGATGAATGTTTATTGGCATTGCTGGGAAAGGTAAGATAAATACCGTGTCGCGAATCCTCCCGAACGCGAACGCCTGCATCTCTACGGGATCGATTTTTCTCATCGCATATATGGAGAAATATATAGTCGCGCGTGTATCTTCCGCGAAGCAGTTTACCCTTTCCAGAAACTGATGCAACTCGCTGGCTCGTCGAGTAACGAGTAATTTCTGTCGTCGTAGGGAGACTCTTCAAGCGAGCACACACACACACACACACGTGAACAACGGTAGATTTTATAAATGGATGAAAGTTTTCAATAGAGGGAACGAGGTAGAAGGACCGTGGAACTTTGTACAGCGGAAACGGGAAAGTAGGTCTTATGGAAACCGCTGATTAATCTTTAGCGGCGCCTCTCTTTTATGCCTCGCTGAAAATCAAGGGAGAATTTTGTTATTCCGCAAAAATAGCTGTCAGCATCTGTAAATTTGTTTTGTCGAGAAGAAGCTCGTCCGTAATCAGGTCAGCTGGTAAAATAAATAAGCGATTACGTAACAAATGTTGTTGAGATGTTACGGCGTGTTCTTCACCGATTCAATGAGCTTTAAAAACAATTATCGCAAATAATGAAATAATCCATTTTATGAAATGAATACTTGTAAAAAAAAGGAATATTAAATGTCTCTTTAATACCGCATTTTATTTTAATAAAATACCGCGCATGAAATAATTCAAACTTTTAATTTAATCTCGATAATTGACATATCGCATTTAATGCCTTTCTGGTCTTATAAAATAATTAATTTAAAAAAAGAGATTCATTGTCAGAATACGCGTATATATCAAAAGCAGCTTTGCAATCTATACGGTAATAAAAAAGGACTTTAAAAGGGTAATTTTTATCGAATACAAGATAGGAAGTGAACTGCGAAGATTCGTAGTTAATTTCCTCTTTTCCTCGTTAGCTTTTTTTTATTTCGTTCAACGCTCTCTTCATTATCTATTTTTTTTATGCTGCCGGTAAGTAAAATCAATACGTCTCTGCGATATAAAACTCTATAAAGCTAAAGAACGAACGACCGCGACTGAAAGCTTTCTTTCGCTCTGTTAATTTTTAAGTCGCGCGAACCGCTGCACTTTCGAGGGAAAATAAAGTTTTGCAGAAAATAATCTTGGACTAGAATTAAATTTATAAATTTCGATGTCTTTAGATCACATTTTGTGATCTAGATCACCCTTTCTCCGCCTCCCCCTCTCTCTCTCTATCTTCCTTTACTCGATCATCAATCTTTTGCAACGTCATATCACGTCGACTTTGCGAAGTTTAAAAAAAAATAATAACAACGTTGCTGACGCAAACGGCGTGAAGCTAAATGAACAAGCAAGAGAAAGTAG